TCACACATTACCCATTTGCTGTGTGGGAGGGTCATGGGTGCTGTGACACCTTGGAGAATAAGATGGTGACACCTCGATGCAGGCTCGTAATGCTCTCTTCCATTTGCAACTCCTTCCTGACACTGTCAGATTGGCAGAGCAACCCAATTCCCACATGAGATCCACATTTTTACAACCTACAAAGGGCTTGCTGAACCCCCAGAGTGACCTGAGTCTCCACAGCAGGGTTCCAACCGATTGTAGAAAGCACCCCCCCTTCCCTGGCACCATCAGCTTATTCTAGTCTTATCTCCACATCCAAACCTAAAATCACTCTGCTGCACCGATGCTGCAGGAAATGCAGGGTTACTTGGTTATTAGCAAAATGCATAGGCAAACACCCTCTGCAGTTCTCCTTGCAATGCCACATGGTTTCTAGTTATTTCATCCCTCGGACACACAACTTTCACTTCTTTACAAAGGTTCACATGTGGATGTTACAAATGTGTAGTGACACAGAACGGCAGTTTTGATCAAGTGGTGGCATTTACTTCTGAGATCTAGTAAACCATGGTTGATTGGTGACCCCCTCTGCTCCCTAGGTGCACGATGACCATTTTCAGGGTTATCAACAAATTCAGATGCTGGCACAAGGGCCAATCTGCAGCTTCCTGGTTACAAAAAACAATCCAGCACCTTGATTCAGTCATTCACTCATGAAATCCAGTGGGTCACTAAGTCTTTCTGCAATGACTCTTGAGACACCCTTCAATGTTCTCTACTCCTGTTCTTTTTCAGGTCCATGACATCTCTTGCCTGGACAGCAGGAATGACTAACTGGTCCTCCTGCCCACAGTCTCACCCTCTGATGCCAGTGCCGTGGTGATCACTGTGGAAAACCAGCATGGCTGCCAAACCACTAGTTAAACCACCTGGTGGCTTTCCGCCTGCTCAGCACATGTGTGTTAGTTTCAGATAACAGCAAGGCTCAAGTCCTGACTGCCGCTAACAAGGCAAGTCCTTTAGACACTCCACGGTATGCTCTCTTCACCTTGGACTGGGAACAGCAAGAGCACCTACCTCATAGAGTTTGAGTAGGGTAATACAAATAAGACTCTTAGCACAGGGTTTGGTCACCCAGTAAGTGCTCAATAAAAGTTTGTAATTACCATATGTTCCAAGCACTGAAGGCCTTGCAAATTCTGATTACAACAGACCTTTCAATTCCATCTCCTACCAATCCACACACTGTGTGAGTCCTTTATCCAAAGGGTCTTACCCTATGCTCACCAGACACTGCTGGCCCACATACTCGTCAACTGGAGATTGGAACTTTATTTTTACCTTGAGCACGCTTATCCTCAAAATGTCAAAAGTAGTCAGAGGGTCATATGTTTTCAGCAAAGCTTTGCATTAGTAAACAATACTTTAAATTACCAATAGAGAAGATATGTTGCTTTCTTCAATTGGCACGATTTTTTTATATCTAATCATCTTTATCTCTAAGAACAAAGGTCATGTTTTCTGAGGGGAAATATGCTGCCACCTTAATGCCCACATATATGCTCTTCTCAGACTCACCAGAAGGGGGAGTGCCAGCATAAAGTAGGGAGCTCCAGCACTCCCTCACAGGGGACAATAGTTTGTTCCAGAATTCATAAACCAGTGACACTAGAGGGTTTTTTTTAATAATTACCAGAGATCCAGAAGATAGAAGCCTCTCAACTCTTGCAGCTCTTCATCAATACTTGTCATAGCACAGCCCAAGCTTGCTATGATTATCATAACAAATATTTCTGTGACTTGCATGAACCTGAATTCCAGTTACAGACTAGAAAAACTGAGTTACCTGAATTCAAAATTGCCGATGATTCCTACACTTGCTACATTTCATCCCTGGTAGCCTATGCTAAGCGGAAGCATCACACAAAGCTTAATGAGCACAGACTCTGGAGCCAGGCAGCCTAGGTTCAAATCCCACCTCTGCCACTTGCTAGCTGTGTGATCTTGAGTCAGATATTTAATCTCTTTGTAAAACTCCCTCGTCTATAAAATGGGAATAACCATGGCGCCTATCTCCTAGGTTGTTGTGAAGATTAAATGAGTTGATACGTGCAACTATTTAGAAGAGTGTCGGACACAGAGGATACCATCTGTGATTTTGCTACTCCTGCCATTACTACCCTGCTGAGCACTTGTCCCGGAGCATCGCAGACAAGGAAAAGAGGAGAGGGCACTGAATCTGTCGCCCTGAGAGCAGTTCAGCAAAGGAAACCCTCTCAAGGGATTCTACTCTACATGGAGTCAAAGCTTCCAGCAATGGCCACAGGAAGGGGAGAGGTAGTGCAAACCGCAAAACAAATTACTGATTTACCCTACATTTCATTTTCAGAAACGCAGGGTGGCTAAAACCCGTAAGAAAATATATGGCTCTAATAACTGCTGATGGTTCATAAACAGCCACCCAGGGGACCCCACACTATTGCGATTGTTATTAATAGAGGAGCTTGACAGAGCCCAGAAATACTGCTCTGACACCTGAAACAGTCTGCCCATACATTACAGACATTCTCACTTCACAACACGGCTTCCACATTCCCCACGATAAGAATGCTTTCGCACCTCTACCATGTTTACAAACGTCTACCCCAATTACCTGAGTTCACTTTTATGGATTTCTGCCATTTTTCTTTCCAGCTTCTGTGACTGCTTAGGGAAAATCTCAAACTCACTGATGTAATTCTCAGGATGCTCATCAGGATCGTAATCACCGAGCTCAGCTGTAAGCAGTAAAATGTAGAGAGAGAAAAAGATTAAAAACAACCACAGGGTGCACATGGGATGGCTCCTGCACCCACAAGAAGAGCTTGGAATAAGCTCACCCAGTGAAATGTACTTGTATCCATAGACAGACCACAGCCTACGTGTCTGGAAGCTTATATTCTAGTTCAGATCTAGCTGTGTGAGCTTGGGCACTCGCCAACCTCTCTGAGTCTCATTTCTTTATCTACAATAAATGGATTTGAGTCATTGTTTCTCAATGGGGCACGATGAGGGTTAAATAATTCTTTATTAGACCTCCCAAGGCATAGTAGGACATTTAGCATCCCTACCCTTCAGGTACTAAGTGCTAGTGGCACAGGCAGTCGTTGTGATGGCCAAAAATGCTTCCCCCAATATTTCCAAATGCCCCCGGGGTAGGAGGTGGTATGCCACCTCTCACTGAAAACCACTGAACAGTCCCTCATGGTTCCTCTCAGAGCCAACTTTCCCTGAGTCCAGGAGTCCCCTGGCTGGAGCTGCCTGCTCTGATACGTGTGTAGGTGTGGCTCATTCAATGAAAAGTCACAAGATGAAGGAACCCAAGAGGATTGCACGTAAAAATAAATGGATTGCTCTTAAAGAGTGTGTCTCAAAGTATGGATGAGCATACCAGATTAAGGCTGTTGCTGGATCCTAACGGAGGGCACCTGCAGAGGGTCTTTAAGTATAAAAAGAAATGCCTGCATCTCCCTGAGCGCCCTGAGGGTCTAGAAGAGGATGGACCTAGATGTGCATGGACTATAGCCTGGAGCAGCAAAGGTGATGCTCTGGCAGGGAATATATTCTACTGATTCCATGAGTTTGATAAGGAAAATGAGCAAGGAAGGGCAAGTGTCTCAGGCAAAAATTGCCCCAAAAGTAGATCAAAGATGGTGGGGAAATTGTATTAGAAAACTTGATCACCTACATGACTTTGAAATAGATTTTTAAAAATCAAGATGCCTTGAGCACGTCTGCAAAATCACATACAACTCTGTATTTTGCATCCTGTCCCTTCATTGTTGAATCATCTAATGACTGTAGGACAAAACTGGGAGGAAAGCTAAGCTCTTTAGAGCTTCTTAATAAGATTCAAATTACAGAGTTCTTAAAACAACCTAAAATGTCTACCACATGAGGAAGAACTTTTAAAATAAGACCCAAAATACCATCAACCATTGGTGGGAAATTAATTAATTTGATTGTATCAACATTTTTAGTATTTCTACTCATTAAATGACATCATAGTCAGAATAATAGATGACAAGTTGAAAGAATATATTTGCAAAATCGAACGCTAACAAGGGCTAATATCTAGAATAAAGAAGAAATCCCTACAAATTAATGAGAAAATGGGCAGGAAGACCAACAGGAAGTTGGCTAAAGGATATAAACAGCCAGTTCACAATAGGGGAAACCCAAAGGGTGAGTATATGAAGACATGCTCAAACTCATCCATTATCAGAGCCATGCAAACCAAAACAGCTAGGTATCATTTTAGACCTGTATGATTAACAAAAATTTTAGGAAGTCGGGCAATTTTATATGCTGGCAGAGATATGAGGAAATGCAAATACTTGTACACTTCTGAAAGATTCTTGATACATGTAGCTCTTTTAGAGACCATCTGGGAGTATTTAGTCAAATTTATTGCCCAGCAATCCCACTTCAGGGCATATATTCTAGAAAAACTCTGGGTGCAAAAAAAGAATACAATGGCAACTTGAGTGTTCACTGTCAGTGGGAACAATAAGTAAAATAAGGATGATACACCCTTCTGGATACCTGTAGCTTTTAAAAAGCAACAAAATAGATGTATACCCACAACATAAATAGTCTCCCCAAACAGTGTTCTGAGCATAAAAAGGAATAAAATGAGTTCTACAGTCTCATTTAATTTATAAAACTTTAAAGTGCATATATACTAAATAATACTAATCATTTTATAAGGTTGTATGCGAAGTCAAAGATATGTATGAACCTGGTTGCTGTCGCTGGGAATGGAAATGGAAAATAATGAAAAAGGTTAATCAGTCAATCAAACATAAGAGGCCCAAAGGGATCAATGATAAGAATGGGTCATAAACTAATGATTAACTAACATAGGTTCAAAAGAAACACACTCACACATACAGACTCCGGTGAGCTCGCTATAGGCCTAAAATTTAGGAACTGGTATAACCCAATGCATCCATTTTCCACAGGGAATGGGCCACTGATATAAAACTGGGTCTGCAGTGCAAATGCCAGCTTGCATTGTGGTTGTTTCGGGAGTGCATTGTTTGTGGGGGGTCCTTCTCTCTCCAGGAAAACTTGTGAGAAACAATGTACTCAACACTGCAAACAAGTAGCCTGGAAAATGTGTGAAAACTAAGAGAAGAAATGCCATGGAACCTGCACAAGGTGCTGACCAGGTAAACGCCAACGCCTCCCTCACCACAGCCCCTGCTTTCCTGTCCCTGACAGCTTGTCTTTAACTCTGACTTCACCTAAAGCAAAAGGCAGTTTATAAGCGATTAAGAGTTTCTAACTATTCAAATTTTGCTTCCCATACCAAGAGGAGTTGGGTAAGCAGCCTATGGTTCTCTCTTCTACACAGACCTTGAGAGTCAAGTTGTGACAAATGACATACAACACACTGGATGGCTGAAACAGGTCCTAGCTCATTTGAAGGGAATTAATGGTCTGAAAAAAACAGAGTTGGAGCAAACAGATGAGCGTGATCAAGTGATGGCAAATAGACAGGGCAAGCCCGACAATGGCGCTTCCCTGGTGTGGAGAGGACTCGTGGCAAAAGAACTTGAGATGCAGGATGTTACAGCATCAGGGCCAACTTCTTCAGGAGCCTTCCCTGTCTGCCCTTGCTGGACCAGGGCCCAGCTGAGGTCATAGCAGGGAGATGTGTGTCTTTCTATTTAGCCATTAACACATATCACAACTGTCTGTTTACGTGTCTGTCTCCTCCCACCTCACCCCCGGGGACTTTGTGTTACACTGCCTGCCACCTAGCAGCTGTTCTATAAATGTTCAGAGAACACAAAAACAAATAAGTGAATGAGGTAGGGAACCAACCACTCTTTCCCAAGAAGAAGAAGAAAGCTGATATTGGTACAATTAGTCAAGTGCCCTGCTTTACGTAACATAGTGGAGAACTTACTGTGAGCCCAACACAGGGGTCCTGCAGTGAAAAATCCACCCAGAGACCCTTGTGTAAAGGGGATGCATAATAAACCCCAAAACAACTTAACAGGGTCACTTCAGATCTAAGTGCTTAAAAGACAGCAAAATGGGTATGAGAAAGGATGATGTAATGATGGGCAGGAGGGAGGCTACTTCAGTAGTCCAGGAAGACTTCTCAGAGGAAGCGACATCTGAACTGAGGTCTGAATTTCTAGTAGGAGCCACAGACCCACAGGGTTGAACACACCAGGCAGAGGAGATAAGAACAAGAATCCTGCCCTGTTGCTATTCCATAGAAGGAGCAGGAAAGATATTTTTACTGAGAAAGAATGGAAATAGGTCCCTAGGGTCCTGTGTGTTTGCTTTGTAATTTGTCTTTAACATGAAAGAAAATGTATGGCATGTACTGAATATGCCCATTGTGTTCAGTACGTACAAGTGGCAAAACTCGGGGAGGCTGCCTGGTTTTTATACACTCAGAATATACAGAAGCTAAAAGCATGCTCCTTCAAAGAGTGTTGGCAAGTAAAATAAACCAATCAGAGAAAGACAAATACCATGTGATCTTACTAACATGTGGAATCTAATGAACAAAATAAACAGAAGGACAATATAGAACCAGAGGCATGGATACATGGAACAGACTGAGAAATGTCAGAGGGGAGGGGTTGTGGGGCAGACTGTTTAAAGAAGGTGAAGGGATTAGCTAAAGAACATATATGCATAGCCCATGGACACAGACAATAGTGTGGGGAGGGCCCAGGGAGGGATTGGGGAAGATGGGCAAAGGGGTGGGAGGTGAAATGGGGACATCTGCAATAGTGTCAACAATAAAAAATTTAAATTAATAAAAAAGAGCATTGGCAAATGAGAAGCCAATGAAAAGTCACATGGCCTCACCTTCTAATCCTTTACTTTCCCTATCGCTCTCCATAAGCATAAGCAGTTCCTACAAAGCAGATCTTTATCTGCATTTGTAACAATCTCTAGAGCTGCTGAAGAATGGCTCCAGCACCACAGAACTTTATGGATCTGCTTTTACTGGACTCGCTATAAATGGCCCATGGACACCACTGCATTTTTTTTAGCTGAAAAATCCTTTGGAGGTCAGCAGTCCATTTGCAACTCTACTCTCTCCACAGCATCTGTGTGTGGTCAGTGAGAATACGTCGAGACAACAAAAAGGGCCCCCATCATCTGGACGGAGCCTTTGTGACTTTATCTCAAACATAAAAAGGATGGAGAATCTCCCATTACAGACCATATTGAGTTTGCCCTTGGAGAATTGACCACTATTCACTCATGCCTAGCCGCGTTCTGAAATCCTCACATGTGGGTTTGCTGCTTGGATTAGTATCGATCCACGTCTCCCTTAAAGAACACAGTGCTCCCTGACTAGGAACTTGCCGTCCTCACAGGGAAGGGGGAGAACTATGGGTTTCCACCTCCTTAGCTCGGATGTAAGAGAGAAGGCTTTTGGAAGCACGTGTCCCGCCTCTGGGCAGACGCAAGGACCTTTCCCATCACAGTATCACTGTCGTTCTGACTTTTTTTTTTTTTAAACATTCATATATATATATATATATATATATATATATATATATATATATAATTGATTTTTTACAGAGAGGAAGGGAGAGAGATAGAAAGTTAGAAACATCGATGAGAGAGAAACATCGACCAGCTGCCTCCTGCACATCTCCTACTGGGGATGTGCCCACAACCCAGGTACATGCCCTTGACCGGAATCGAACCTGGGACCTTTCAGTCCGCAGGCCGACACTCTATCCACTGAGCCAAACCGGTTTCGGCCTGACTTTAAATGTGACTATCCCCAAGGGTGTCAACACCTCTGCCAAAATCTGCTGAGCATCACTAGTTTGCTCCCCAGGGAAGGGGAGCATCAGCACAGATGCATCCTTTAGAATTCCCAGAGGGCACACACCTCACAAGATCATTTCCCAGCACAGAGCACCCCTCAGGGACAGCTCTGCCTATCACAACCTCGGGAGAAGGATGGGTCTCTCTCTCCAACGGTGTATGGAGCTTGGAATTGTGATCAGCAGATGACTGTCAGGATCCACGTATTGTCCCAGTCCCTTTATAAGGGTGACATGCTCACTCGGTCCCTGTCTCTCTCCCCCTCCCTCCCTTCCCTTCTCCGATAAACATGTCATTAGCATTCATGCTACAAATGGCTGGATCACCTGAGTCCTTCTGAACATCCCCTGCCACCAGCTGCCTCCCGACTGGCCCAGGGGAACAGAACACCTGAGTCATACAACAGACTGTGGGCCTGGACTCCCCTCACCACCCTACGTGGCTGGAGAAGCTGAAGAATTAGATACAGTATGCGTGTACCCATATGAATGAATGAATACATACATACATATATGTATATATGTTCTGACATTTCACTCCAATGTTTGAATTTACATCTATCTTCCTGGACACAGTTTCTCCTCAGTGTACCCATTGAGCCCTACAGCAGGTGGTCAGCACTTGGCACTCTGAGCATAAAACACCCACAATCCTTCAGGGCTTCTCATAAAGTCCCACATTCTGAGCTCTGCCATGGGCCTTGAGGACCCTTTGTTTTTGCAGAGGCCCCTGTGACCACCACAGCCCAGCCTTCCACCAGACCCTGCTGGCTTGAGAGGAAAGATAACCAGGGGCTCTGGTGCCGAATACCCAGCCCTGCCTGGCCTCAAACCATGGACACCAGCAGGACAGGCACGGGGGGCGGGGGGGGGGACCTCTGAGCAGCTGAATCTCTATAGTCCAGTTCAACTTACCTTGAATGATGCATGCACCCAGGTAGGCAGCATCTGAGAAGGAGCAGAGTAGGCGACCGTGGAAAATATCTCTCTTAATTTGCAGGTACAAAAGGTACCTGCAATACAAAGGAAAGAGTCCCCCTAAGTGTCAGTGATTGCTCATGTTCTATCCACCTGTATCAGCAGCGCCCTCCGCAGCTCCAGGAATGGCTGAGACATGCCCAGCCCTTGGGGGGCCAGCGCAGAAAACGGAGGGGCCCTCAGAATCCACAGAACAGCCCAGTGTCTGTGGCAGCTTCCAAAGCTGGGGGGCTGGCCCTCTTCCAAGAGACATGAGAAGGACCAAGGAAAGCCAGAGGGCCAGCAGCCACTGTTCCTGGCAGGAGGTCCCACAGGATGACACCCACCGGTACATGCTTCCCACGTTCTGTGTGAAAGTCAGGAAATGGATGAACTCAGTATAGGGGAACCAGTCTCCAGCACACAGACTCAACAGCAATCAATCTCAAGATGACTTTGTTATGAGGCCAGAAAGCAAATTAATTCATAACTGGAGCTGTCACCTATTTAGTGTCCTCTCCCCTCTGCAGGGACAGCAAACTCAGATGCCTGCAGAGCCAGGCAAACCTGATAAGGAGTGAAAGGAGCTGGCATAAGGGTGCCAGGGAAGCAGAATGGAGAGCGCTGGCCCCATGAAGGGGTCAGCCGCCACACAGTTCCTACTGCATAGAAAACAAGCCAAATGCATCCAGCTTTTCAGGAAATCAGGAGATGGATTTAGAAATTGTGAACCAAAGGGGCTCCTTTGGCAAGCATGACAACTCAGTAACTGAAAGTGACCACACAAGATGTTCCAATCATAAGAAATTCCTAACTGAACGGGTTATGGGGGGAGATCACATTCCAAGGCCTATGTGGTAGATTAAGGTCTACCTTGATCCATTGTTTTTGTGCATCTAGAATAACATACTTAAAATGTCAGAGTGATCTCTTCTCCAGAACTCCAGAGGTAAACACTGGTGAGGGGTGAAACAAGGCCAACATTCCTCATTATTCTCTTTACCCACATACCTCTGTAAATTATGTAGGCTAAAGGTGAACTGTCCTGCACCCACCATGTAAAGGAAGCGTGTATCCCTCCGTTTTACTTTTTATCCATCCTAGAGATTTCCCTGCTTTGCTTCCTTCTGCCTCCTCCATCTGCAACCGTTGGATTTCATGCAAACCTTTCCTATGTCTTCTCCTTTGATTCTAGTGTATAAAATAAACTGCTATTCCCCGGGGGCATTATCTCATTCCCTTGAGGAGACATTGCGTCTGGGACTAGCCCTCAAAACCATGGCTCATCATACACTCTTTAGACCTTCCTTTAGGTTTAGAATTTCTTTCATTGACAAAGTAAGACCCTTTGAATTTTAAACGTTGCAACAAATTCTGTTTTTAAAATTACTGGGGCACCAAACAGAAAAAAAATACACTTGCGTCCAATTCATCCAGGGGAGAGGGACACACCAGCATTATTCAGAGTAGCTAAAAAGTGGGAAAACCCAATGCCCATCAACTGATGAAAAGGTAAACGACATGAGAATGCAATGGGATATGATTCAACCACATAAGGAATGAAGTACTTATTCATGCACAACAGGGATGAACCTTGGAAATATGACACTAAGTGCAAAGAAGCCAGTCACAGAATATACTACATATTATGATTCTATTTATATGAAATGTCTTGAATAGGCAAATCTTTAGAGACAGACAGTGGATTAGTGGCTGCCAGGGAATGACTGCTGGGCTATGGGGTTTCCTACTGGGGTGATAAAAATACTCTGGAATTAGATTGTGGTGATGGTGGCACAAGGTTGTGATCATATCAAACCCATTTAAGTGTACACTGTAATATTTGCCAAAAGAAATTAATACTTTTGAAAATCCAAATTGCCTTAGAATAGTGATTCTCAAATGTTGACATGCTGCAGGGCTATGAAAATAGAGATTGCTGGGTCCCAGTTCCCAGGTGATCGCTGCTGGTGTGAAACCTCACATGCTACATTTCACCCCTGGTAGCAAAGTACTAGAAATTGATCAAATCTTTCCTCTTTTAAAAAAGAAGGTGAACTACCAGGGCACCTGCCATAAGTTTCTTTTCTACCTGCTAAACGTATGCATTGAACAGAAAGCATTCCTTGCCACTTTGTGTGATAAGTTTAGCGTAAAAAAGAGTTTCCAATAACTATTTCTTGATGAATGAGAGGTCTGGGTTCTAATCCTGTAAATTAGAAATCCAGTTGGACAAAAGCTTCCCGAGAAAGGAAAAATCAGCTTTCACAACATCGGAGCCTGGGTGCTGGCTCCTATCTGTCATCTCCAGAGATAATCATGGATTACTGTGGATTCGACATAATCCACTGAGCCTTCAAAATGGCTTCAGGCTCAGGTGCTCATTGTTTAAATACAATAACCACTAAAATAATAATGATGATGCCTCTTCCTTTGGCATCACATCTGCAGAATGAAAGGACTATGCACCCAAAGGATCTGGGCCTCCATTATTGTGCCACCATTAATGACATTGCTTCTCTCCCTGGCCTGAATTTAAACATGGTTCTGACTAAAATATTAAAACCAATATACTTTGATGATATCTAATCGTATACAGCATTTACAAAAAGGGGGGGGATCGTAAGATGACAGCATAAATGGAGAGTTAGAGAATGAAAAATGATTTCAAAAGTCTTTGTGTGAGTATTTGTGTGGTCTTCCTCTCTTAAATCTGCCCTTTTCCCCAATGTTTCTTTACCCCTAAGCACGGTCATAACTGTGATCTTAACTTCTATATTAAATTCATCTTAAATTTTAGATTAATCTTACAATAAAATAATTTCTCAAACAAGAAAAACTAAACTCTTTCAAGGTAGGGTTTAAACCATAAGCGCCTGGGCATTGCACAGTTTTTAGATTCATTTTGAATACTAAGGACCATAATGACTAAGAAAAGCTCATCTCCACTGTTCAAGGACTGAGCATCATCTTAATTTCCTTCAGAGACATAAAAATGTTCACAATTTTCCATTACTCAGACTTTAGCTGTTCAAGCAAATGCCTGTGAATGCTAGCAAATTTAATTGAGAGGGATTTAACTCAAGTTATTAGCTAAAACTTTATTCTCTTTTACTTTCAAATGGGACTTTTCTCAACCACAAAAGATCTATTGTTAATTTCTATTATGACACTATCAATTTTTGTCCTCCACACAAGATTATAGAGAACATAAATGACAAAAGTGAGCCATTTGGGCCCCTGGTGGTTCTTCCTGATTATACTGTTAGCACCACCCTGAGAGCCCAGAGAGCAGGACAAGCCTGCCCCGCTCTCTCTCTCTCTCTCTCTCTCTCTCTCTCTCTGGAAGCTCAGAAGCTCCTGTTCCCTGGGCTATAGAAAGAGTGGGAACTGAAGAACTTATCAAATAAATGAATAAATTTTTGAGCCATGAGCAGGCAAAATATGGCGTGAGTCCATTTACATGAAATGTCTAGAACAGGTAAATCCATAGAGACAGCAAGTAGATTAGTGGTTCCCAGGGGCTGGAAGAGAGGAGACTGAGTACTGGCTGCTAGTAGGTGCAGTGTTTCCTTTGGGGTGGTGAGAAAATGTTCTGGAACTCTCCAGTGGTGATGGTTGCCTAACATTGTGAATGTGCTTAATGCCAATGAATTGTACACTTTGAAATGGTGAAATTCATTTATGTTATATGAATTTTACCTCAATTTAAAAAGACACACACACAGCAGGTCAGATTGCAAAATCCGAACCACCACTTATAATGTCCATTACCTATGTATTTCTCCTCTCTACACCTGTCCCTCCCCCCGCCCCCAAGCACAACCCTCCCTGAATGACTGTGTACTAGTTCATAATAGAGAAGAACCCATCTGCGCCCTCAGTGCCACTATGGTCAAGCTCTACCAGACATTCGCGGATAATGAGAAAGCTAAATAGCCAAGAACCCAGCACATCCCCTGCAAATGAGGATCAGCAAAGGGCACTTGTTTCTCTGTTGCATTCGTACCTGCGGAGGTTATTTTGAGAGATAATTATGCAGAGTGATTTCTGCGGTCACCAAATCAGAGCCTCATCAAGAACTTAACACAGAATGGCTCTTCCCCCTCCACTGAATAGGCCCCTCTGGGACCTGATCAGCTGTACTGGGCCAGGCTGTTCACGGAAGCAAAACCCCCAGAATGTGGCCTCAGCACTGGGGAGGCCTGAGAATCGGAATATTCAGAGAGTTGGGCTGAGAAGAGTCTACCAGGAGAGGGAAGCCGGCCCGACCGTCGGTCATTTAGTGAGCGGAATGCAGGATGACAAACAGTCCGTTCTATCAAGTGGTCTCTTCCCTCCCAGAAAAGCTGAGATCCAGAAGATAGGCCCTCGGGGCTTCACTCACTATGAATTTGCCCATATCCTAAAGACCGTCATCTTCTATCTATTTTTAGCACCCTACTGTCAGATGTTTGCAGGGAGTACCTCCTCCTTATAACCGCTGCTTTTCTGTGCACTTAATTACACTCCCCATGACAAGTGTTTGAAAAATCCTGAGACAATTAAGTGCAAGAGAAACATTCCAAGCCAGGATGCCGAGCTGAGCGCCCACATTGTTGGCACCTCCAGCCTGGAAGACTCGAAGGACCTGGATGGTTGTGGGAGGCCTGTGGGGGAAGGGTTATGTTAAACATAAAACAAATGAAAAATACCTTGTGAGCTCTTCTTTAATCTTCAGGGGTTCATGTGGGTAGAATTTCACTCTAAAGCACATGGTGTATGGTGGATGAGCTGAAACATCATAAAAAAAAAAAGGCATGAGAAAAGCAGCAAAACACCATGGACTCAAACATTCATAGAAAGTCAGCCGTGAGGCCTTGCAGCCCAGCCTGGGGATGGGGTAGGGGAGAGGGTGATTTTCTGGATGAAGCAGGTATCGTACCCAAGAAAACAAGGCCATAGTGACAACCAAACTCAAAACTCCACAGGATGCCCAAACCGAATGCAGGGGTGGTCATAAATGTGATCGTAACTTCTCCCGTAGCACTCTAGTCCCTAGCACATCTTTCCGCTTCACAGCGCCCCTCCCCTCCTTCATTCTCTCTGGGTCAAAGCTTCAGAGAACATTTCTGACTCTCCCCAGCCCCTTGTGAGAAATTGCCCATAAGCACTACTCAGGTTTTTGGCCAAGCCTGTGAGGTAGAAAGATGTCACTGCACATGACCAGTTTCCCCAAAGCGATGGTACCTTTGAACTAAAACTGAGATTTTTAAAATGGAATCAGCCATGCACAGATCCTTCTTTGTATATTTTTCATAATAGTTTAGTGTTATCTATGAGGCAGTCGCTTGTATGAAAATACTTTTTTAACTTCCTGATTTGTCTGAATCAAGGTAAGTACTAAGCAGACTGAAATTCTGGTTGATATCCATGATTCTGGAATGTTCTAATTGCATTAAATACCCAGAACTCAATGACCAGCGAAGGGGATTCTATGGAATTTCTGATACTTTTAATTATAAGACCACCGTTGACTGGCAATGTTAACCTAATAATTACACGCAAGTACAGTAAGATGCATGTGATGGTTAGTATTTCTATTTCTGCAGATCTGACATTCCCACTCATGTCTCGCTTTTGTCTCAGAGTGGCTACTTGGCATCAGCTCTGAGTCTACATCAATGAAACAGCATCCATTCTCCCCCAAATCCTCTCTCATTATAAGCAGGAGTTAAATCACCAGCCAACTCTACAACATCTGGGGCTCTTCTGTATGCAGGCAAATTCTTTATGTAGAAAGGACTATTAGCATCAAATATGAATGTATAATGAGGATAGTTTAAAAGGGAAAATAAATCTTAAAAATAATTAGAAAGAAAGCATCTGCCAGACAGGAATACAGCAGTATCTTTCTGGCTATCTCAGCAGAGAGAAACGAATTAAAAATATACACACACATTGCCCTGGCCAGTATTGCTAAATGGTTAGAGCACTGGCCTGCACACCGAAGGGTCACAGGTTCAATTCCCAGTCAAGGGCATGTACCTGGGTTGCGGGTTCAATACCTGGCCCTGGTTGGGGCATGTGCAAGAGACAACCCATTGATGTGTCTCTCTCACATCTATGGATTTTTTTCTCTCTCTCACCCCTCCCTCCCTTCCACTCTTTCTAAAAATCAGTGGGAAAAATATACTCAGGTGAGGTTTAATAAAATACACACACACACATGCACACACACTTATGTTAGAGCTCTCCATTCAATGTTCTCCTTCCCCACTGGGAACTAGCAAACTTCTGAGTTGGGTGCTCCTAACCCAACCCTGTGTTCCCTAGATTTAAGAAAGGAAACATTTTCTGGAACATGAGGAGAAAATGAGCACCTCCTATACGGCAACAAAACAAAAAGAAAATACAACTGATTCTTAAATCATTCATCTTTCATGATATCTAGAAATTCTGTTTTGACTTAAAATATTTTATCTTTACACATTTCCAAGATTTCTTTTAAATTGTTTAAACAATCACTCTAAAGCAGTGGTTCTCAACCTGTGGGTCGCGATCCCTTTGGCAGTCGAACAACCCTTTCACAGGGGTCACCTAAGACCACCCTGCATATCAGATATTTACATTACGATTCATAACAGTAGCAACATTACAGTTATGAAGTAGCAACGAAAATAATTTTATGGTTGGGTCACAACATAAGGAACTGTATTTAAAGGGCCAGAAGGTTGAGAACCACTGCTCTAAAGAATTAAAACTAATGATCATTTTATTATAAAATCCATGGATTGTCCTTAATAGAAAGATCAAGAGTTTTTATAAGAACAACAGAGCAAAAAATGGAAATAACTAAGAAAGTTTTCTCCTTCCTTCCTTTCATTAAAGTCCTCTAAACTAATCCATGATTAAGCCCAACCAATGAAGATGATGGATGGATGGATGGATGGATGGATGGATGGTGATGGATAGATAAGCCAACCCCTTTCACTTTCCGTCACTCAGGTCCCCACCCACCTCAAACTCTCCACCACTGTTAATAACTTCATCTACATTCTCCCACCCCTTTTACACCTTCACCCAAATATATGCGAACATGATTACATATGTGAGAGTATTTTTTATAATTTAGTCTCACAAAACAAGATCATACTACAGATGTTTCTCTTGCTTTTCTCACTTAATTCTATCTTCTCCCCACCCCTCCAGGTTGGTAGATATAGATCTATAATAACTGCATAATCACACTATGGAGAGACCACAATTTATTCCACTACTTCCACTCTTCTCATTTATCATCATTCAGGTTATTTCCATATTTTTGCAATTCAAATGATATATACACATGTATATATTTATAAAAAGATATATGTATATTTTTTATATTTTTACATATTTAAAATGTTACATCCTATATAATAAAAGGCTAATATGCAAATCAACCAAACAACAGAATGACCAGTTGCATATGACACACACAGACCACCAGGGAGCAGACGCTTAATGCAGGAGCTGCACCCTGGTGGTCAGTGCACTCCCACAGGGGGAGCATAGCTCAGCCAAAAGCCGAGCTCCAGTGGAAGTGGCGGGAGCAGCAGGCAGACATCCCAGAGGGGTCCTGAACTGCGAGAGGGCACAGGCTGGGCTGAGGGACCCCCCTCACCCCAGTGCACGAATGTCATGCACCGGGCCTCTAGTATCTTTATAAAAGAACATATGCACAGGGGTATATGTATTTATATAATTGTGCACATATCATTAAATACTTGTATTTTTATTTCTATAACACAACTTCCCAAAATTTGAACTGTTGAGTCAGCAGATATGGGAAAATATCTTAGAGAAAGCAGAAAAATGAAAGCGAACTTAAGGTAAATTGGGGAAAGTAGGACCATAGAAGATGGTACCATACTAGAGCCATCATTCTTTTCTCCTACCTAATCAGCATATCTGTTTATCGTGCCCTGGGCTGGCTTTCATAGTTATCTGAGTTCATTAGATACAAATCAGGACTCACACTCATTCCAAGGGATCAGCTGTGAGGCTCACAGGCAGCACCCCAGGCAACCATCTTTGAGAACCCCTGATGGCAGTAAGTCCTTCCACCCAGTCATCCTCGTTCCAGGACCTAAAGCTCCACATGGTCTAATGCTTCTACACACAGAGCCCTTCCATCATTTGAAGAGAGTGCTATGGTCCTTCCGAGTCTTCTCTAAAATAAACAGCCCCCGTTCTTTTAACTGTTCCTCAAGTGAAGCAGTTTTGAATGACCTGGGTTTATTCCTGTCTACTCTGTGTTTCCTGGAGCATGGGGTCCCAGGGGTTGCCACATCTGCTCAGGTGAGGGGACATCACCAGTATCACTTTGAACATAATTGTTGCTTCCCCCAAGCAGCCTCATCTCAATATTAATTCACTCTGAGTTTACAATAGACAAACATTCTTAAATCTTTTCATATATGCTGTTGCTAAGTCATACATAAAAAGTCACTAAGTTCCTGACCTCTCCCTCCATTCTCTAGGACAGTGTTGGCAAACCTATGACACGCGTATCAGAGGTGACACGCGAACTCATTTTTTTGGTTGATTTTTCTTTGTTAAATAGCATTTAAATATATAAAATAAATATCAAAAATATAAGTCTTTGTTTTACTATGGTTGCAAATATCAAAAAATTTCTATATGTGACACGGCACCAGAGTTAAGTTAGGGTTTTTCAAAATGCTGACACGCCGAGCTCAAAAGGTTCGCCATCACTGCTCTAGGATGTGATGGTAGCAGATAGTAATACAAGGTACTAGTGATACACTCACAGGCACAGGCCACACTATTTAAATGTGAGCTTTTGTTTTGTGGGGAGCAACACTCCTATCTGAAGACAAGAAGGAAATGGGGGGTGGGAAATGGGAGGGAGGAGATGGAGAAGACCAAATTCAATTCAACAACTCCACAGCTGAAAAACATTTTACTCAGCTATGTAAGTACCAAAAATTAGAATACCACCGAGTAGCAAAGAAGGAAAAAATCCACTTAAAAATGCCAGGAGCACATAATTGCACAGAAAATGGCAGGGGATCTTTCTAACAGCCCTCCCTTACCTGCCAGCCAGGGCTGAGGAGGCCAAGTGTCTCCATAGGGCAGCTCAGGGGCCCTGTTCTGCATCAGCAGATCCTGGGGTATAATCATTTGGGTAGTTTGTTGCCAGTGAGAACACAGGGAGAAGAACAGGCATTTGTAAAGCAGAGACAGGCTTTCTCATCTGCACTTTGAGACCTTGCCCAGAAATGGGGGTTGGGATGCCAAAGGATTAGGTGAACAGGCTCCCAGGCAAAAATGAAAAAAATAAAAAACTTTCTATTATTAACCAACAAACATCCTCAAGTCTTTGTAGAAACAAATAGGACATTTTTTGCAAATAAAATATTACTTAGCAGCTTTTATTAAAATGTGGAGGTCTTCCCCCAATCACTGTAAATAACTATAGACAAAAACCAATTTCAGGAATAGACATATAAAATCACAATCTCTCTCATATACATTCTGGCCAACAGCTATGACAAATGTCCCCAAACTCCTTTAAACAGTAGTTGAAACATAGAGCCTGGGGCTCTGGCAGATGTTAGGCAATTCCTATACCTGGAATATCTCTCTCTCTCTCTCTCGGGCCTCCCTCATCTGGAACTCTATTAAAAAAAAAAAGTGACCCATTTGTTAGGCTTTCAGACTCTGCAGAAACACTGCAAAGGGTCTGGTGTTGCAGAAAAGGACCACGAACACCCTGCAAAGAAGCT